CCGAATGGGAATTAAACTTGCCGACAGGTCTGTGTAAATTCGTATCGGGTTGCATCTGCCCGTAAAGTTGAATAACTGCCCCTTTAAATCCCGACGGAGTCTAATACATTTCGATTAATGCAAACGGTTAAATATACAGGAAAGAAAAGGATAACAAGGGTAACACTTTACAGATTTAATAAATAAATTCAATCTATCGGTTACATTTTTCCTTCTCAAGAATTTTCTCCTAGCTCATATGAATATTCAGCTGACAGAGCTGTCGCTGGCTTGGCCGCGGTCGACCAAGAGCCTCTTCATGGATTTATCGCTGGAAAGAGAGACTCACGGAGCATTTTCGTGATCTCGTCGTCGGTCCCTTTGATGCGTGGGCGTGGGCCGCGCAAATCGAATCGCCCGGAGTCTCATCACGTTCCCCGTTGTAATCATGGCTATCCCGCGCCCTGATCCGGAGCTGATTATAATTTATGTTTCGTATTCAGCCGCGTTGCATACACCGCTTCCGCCGTTCACGGATCCGCTTCTGCGGCTTATTCCATGCCGTCGGTGGCTAGATTACGTGGTAACATACTGCCGCTGCAATTTCAGCCTTCGTCAAAGATAGAGACTCGTCACGAGGGAAACGATGAATCGCGAAACGTTCGCGAGAAAGAGGATACAGCTATATTTCCATCGTCGTCCGCCATCGTTTTTATACACGCAGCCGTTATTGTTACATCTGATTGAAGTTTTTGTGCGGTATCTCTCGCTAAAGATATTTCATTCCTAATAAAATCTGTCGCCCGAGAGTAGCGAGACTCGTCGGCGAAAGTCGAAGTACAAACGGACTTAATTTCCCAGCGCTACCGGCTCGCAATCACCGTCGCTCTTTGCAACCGCGCGACTCTGATTATAATTTATTCGTTTCCTATCCGAGTCGCGCTCGGTTGTCAGCGCAATCATGCTCGTCCCCCCCAGGCGTATATGCCAGATTACATGCCGATATATAGCGACCTATAATTTCTGTCAGTAACCAAATGCAATAAGTTAGTTGAGACAACGACGCTTACAATTCCGAAATGCGAAATAAATCTGTGCTACCGCTTACCTTTAACGGAACATTTAAGGGACAATCGTTCCCAAAAATCAGATCAGATTGGTTCGCCAGTCCGCCCCTTTACGTCGACGAGCACACGCGGGCGCGCGCTCGTACGTGAACATCTCGTCGACACGCCGCGGGCATGTTTTCTCAGCTGGTGCCCCTAACCCTCGGCGGTTCTCCCCTCTCGTTGTCCCCCGCCACCCCCACAAGCAAATCCTGGAAGATCCTTTCAGGACACGGTCGGCTACCCACAAAGGATCCGGCCTTTCATACGCACGTTATTATACTCTTTACACAATATCGTTCCAGCTCGCCCCCACCATCGCCGAGGAAGAAATACGCGTTGCCCATACACCTCGGTACTGTATACCCTACGCCCACGTATTGTAAGCGGAACCATAGGGCAAGAGACGTCGGCGGAGCCGACGAAAGCCTCGAGACTTTCTCGTTTAATTTGTTGTTGTAGCTGCTTGAGACGTGGATCGAGCCATTCGTCCGTCCGCAAGATCCCTCAAACATTCATTATATTTTTTCTTCTTCTTCGTAACGCGTACGACCGCGACTCGCGGTGTGGTGGGGTTACGGCCCGTCTCGCTCGTAAGAAAGGTCTATATTTGTTCCGTATCTCACGAGCGGTCTCTATTAATCGAGAGATCGCGGAGCAGGTGGAACCGGCGTGCGATCCGCGCGATAGAAGAACAGCCGAGTATCCTTCGGGATCCCTTTCTCTTTCCCTTTTCGCGCTTTCAGATTATATCATCTTTTATTTTACAATGTTTATACGATGTATAACTAATAACAGATTTGCAAAACACAGTTACGATCATTGATCGATGCATCGCGCATAAATGGCATGCGGATATATCGATCGATCATCTATTCACGCTGATCATAGTAATAAGATTTATGACGATAGCGAGGGCTCATTAAACCATCGATTCAGCTCACCCGCTGATGATCGTATCGCGGATGCAGCCTGATGCGATTAGGATGCGGCATTATCGCGGTCCATTAGCGATTGTTTGCGAAGAAAACGAACGAGTCAATTGCCATCGTTCGGTGAATCGTAAAAGCCGGCGTATGTTGCGCCGATGGTCTTGAAAATTTATTGGAGCATCACTCGTTCAGGAGGATTTTTTCTGTCTGATTTGGCGCGTTTGCCCGTCCGCTGAAGATGCACTTTTAGGTTTCCTTTTAGGTTGAATAGTTCCTGACAATATAATTCAAGCGGCTTGTTCATATATTTATTTTTATTATACAAGACCATTATTATTTTTTTGGACAAAACAAGGATCGATGCTGCCAAGTATGCAATTATACAAATGATAACTTGTTTCGTAAAACGTACGGATCAAAATCGCCCGAGTCGATCCGTAAATGTACTCAGGAATGTTCGTCGCGCTACTCTAGACGGGAACACCGGTCCCATACATTCTAACAGCAGTAGGTTTCTCTCTTTTATAGCCCTGTGAAATTCTTCTTCGGATATTACACCGTCGCGATCGACGTCGAGCTTTTTCAACAGTGAATCAATCAAATCCTATGACGCCATAAATGCTTACTATTATTTTATGTAAATTTTATGTGTTTACAGCTCTAGACTTTATCTGTTGTTAATTAATTAACCTTTACAGCATCATCGGGATCTTCGTCTGTTTGCAGTTTGATCAAGCAACCTCGCATTGACGGAAATATTTGTTCTTTCTTCAATTTGTTAGTATGCATAAAATCGTATATCTGCATTTCATAAATATTAATATTCTTAATTAAAGCTTAACCCTTTCCGAATTTTTCAAAGTAATTTTAAGTTTGTAAAAAATTGGGATGTAAAATCAATTCTTAAATAATTAGAATACTATAGAAGATTACAGTAAAAGCGAAATGTATCCTTTCGTTCAGATTGCCGCGAAGAATTGTGGAGAGCCCTTCAATCCATTGTTCTAAATGAATCTATACCCACATTATTATAATTTTAATTACCATAGAAATATAAATTAAGTATACCTTACGTTAATTTCTCATACTTGCAGAACGTTTTTCTTGTCAAACGCAGAGAATATTCTATCGATATATAGATGCCGAATATTTTCAGTAAAATCCAAACCAGAATGTAAAACATCTCTAAACACCAATCTTGTCATAGGACCCAAAGTTTGTGTTATTTTTCTATGTATAACAGCTAACGCTACGGTAAAATTAATCAGCGGTAAAATTTATCGAACATATATAGAAATTATATTAAATTAAAGAATACATTAATACGTATAATGATATATTTATTTTATTCTACTAAATAACCTTC